AGAAAGAAGTCATCGCGAATACGGCTGAAGGCCCCCAGTGCTCCCTCCCCAGCCGTATCCCCCTCCTGAACTTGGGGTTCCTGAACTGGGGGTTCACCATGGCAGCGTCTGCTTCCCCTCACAGTATATGGTGTCTGCCTCTCCTACGCTACCTGGGGCCGTTTCTAGAACAGCAGACTTCGCATCGATCCATCCTACTCCCTTCCTCCGCAGCCGGCTTCTTCCCACCGTCTCGGCCCGGAAGTTCACGCCCAGGGAGGGCTCTGCGGTGACAGAGCCGCGCGTCGTGTGCAAATCCCATCTGGACCCTCTCCGGCCGAGCTGGCTCCAGGCCCCGAGGTGAGACACGTTGTTTCAGGAAACACCTCTCACACGTGTCTCCCGCCGGTTCTAGGATTTGCACTCACATCTGAGCTGTTAAGGGGAGAACTAAACGCGAAGGGAAGGCCCCTCGCGGTAAAGCCCGCCCACCCCTCCTGCCGGCCCCAGAGGCGACTGGCCAGCGGCCACACGTCAGGCAAATGGCAGGACCAGGCCCTGGCTCCCAGCCCAGGATCAGAGGCCGAGAGAGGACTCGGCCCACCTCCCGGGTCTGCCCGGCTGGCCACCGTGAACACACCGCCTGGAGCCACTGCACATCAGCTCCCTATGGGAGGTGAAGGCCGGGCGCCAGATCAACTGACCCCCTTCCCCTTGCAGGTCCAGCGCCCACCGCGTCCAGAGCCCACCCCATCCCCCCCGGCCGGTGGCGGCCACCGGTCCAGCCTCCAGCCGGGGGTGCAGAGCTCCCCGCAGCGACCAGGCCCAGGACAGACTCGGCACAAGTTCAAGTCCGCTCTCCCCTGGGGAAGAACCGGGCAGCCTGGCCATTAGCGCCAAAGAAAGAAAAGTCCGCCCAGCGCCTGACCCCTGGGCCTCGGGACTGTCCCTCCTTCTGGCTGAAGAAAAGGCCTTTGTGCCTCTCACCCGGGTGCGTGACCTTGTGCTGTTCCCATCCAGCCCGCGCTGTTCCCAGCTCCCAGGACTTGCCGGGTTTGGGTTCAGGTTCGGGTTCGGGTTCGGGCCCTCGCAGGGGCTGCCCACGGGGCAGACGCTTACAGGAGTCAGTTCTGGTCCATGCGCTGGGGACCATCCATTCCAGACCCCACCCCCTCCCGGTCCACCCGCAGCTCTGTGGGGACAGGTGTGGCCACAGCCCAGCACAGAGATGTCCGCTTTCTGCCCCAGATCAGCCCAATGGAGATCAGTGTGTCCATCAAACACAGGGACACGTTAAGGAAAACCTTAAAACAGACCAAACGCATTGGATCTCAGTCTTAGGAAAACCTAATGAGGAATTAGCACCGCGGAGTTTCCCTCGGGCTTTTACTTTATGCCGGGACTGCTCAGGCCATTAGGACAGGAAGCCTGTGTTGTCAGGGACCATCCTACGGGCCCCAGCACAGACCCGGGTCCACCCCAAAGACCCCGAGTTTCTCCGGAAAAAGCCGCCTTCACATTGGAGTTGACGTTGGCCCCTGCGTCTCCCTTCAGACCCACACAAGGGCCCCAGGTTCCCACACGCAAATGCCGCCGGGGGGCCGGGCAGGGGAGCTCCGTGAGGGGAGCGGCCAGCGGCGAGCCAGCCCCTGGTTGCCAAGCAGAGATCCGCCCAGCGTGGCTCCAACGCATGCCTGTTTCCGAGAGAAGCTAGAGATCTGGATTTTTATTGGAAACCTCTCTATTTTTAAAGTTTGGCAACTAACTCCTTTTTTTTTCTTTCTTTCTTTCTTTCCAATTTTCTGTGGACCAAACAGTCAGCAAGCCAAACGGAACTCAAGCGCAGGCAGGATCGGGCACACTCCGACCCGCGCACGCCTCTTCCTCCGGCGCCAGGGCTGGGGGTGCTTCTGAGGGGTTTTCCACCTGAATTAGCACCCAGAGCAGGTGGGAGGGGGGCGACGGCTTCGGCTACGAGGATAAGAAATAAAGGGTCAGCCCTAACCGGTTTGGCTCAGTGGGTAGAGCGTCGGCCTGCAGACTGAAGGGTCCCGGGTTCGATTCCGGTCAAGGGCACATGTCCAGGTTTCGAGCTCGATCCCCAGTAGGGGGCGTGCAGGGGGCATGCAGGAGGCCGCCGATCCATGATTCTCTCTCACCTTGATGTCTCTCTCTCCCTCTCCCTTCCTCTCTGAAATCAATAAAACTATATATTTTTTAAAAAGGCGTCAATTCACACATTTTGCAAAGCCCTGGTCCAGAACGGCTGCCAGGTCCCTTTGCTGATCGCATCGTGCGCCTGACCCCGGTCCTGGGGCTTGGGTTCGTCCTCTGGCTCCAGGAAGTGCTGAGGGGCTCAGAGAGGGTAAGGAACTCACCCCCGGTCACACAGCAGGGGCGCGGGAAAGACGGGACCCCGGCTGGCAGGTGCTGGCGCCCACAGGGATCCCCTCCAACCCTGTGCCGTCCAGCTGCCTCCTGCCCGCGCCCCACACTGGGGATCGAGCCCGCAACCCGGGCCTGTGCCCTGACCAGGAATCGAACCCTGACCTCCTGGTTCCTAGGTGGACGCTCAACCACTGAGCCGTGGTGGCTGGGCTCCATTGATTTTTAGAGAGAGTAGAAGGGAGAGAGAGAGAGAGAGAAACATCGATGTGAGAGAGACACAGCGATTGGTTGCCTCCCACACGCACCCTGGCCAGGGCCGGGGATCGAGCCTGCAACCGAGGCCCGGGCCCTTGACCGGAATCGAACCTGGGACCCTTCTGACCGAGGCCGACGCTCTGTCCCCTGAGCCACACCGGCCAGGGCTGAGGTTTTCTCTTTACCAAGGAGCAGCCCTAGCGCTCTGTCATTTCGTCCTTTGCGGACGCTGGACTATGGCAACTGGCTCCCTCCCTCCCTCCTGGTCCCGTTCCTCCCGCAGCCTTTGCTCCGGGCGGAGAAGCTGGAAAGGCAGAGCCGGCGGCTCCTGGGAACGGCCCCCCGCCCGCTGCCAGCTGCTGGCGGCCGGCCTCTTCCTGCTCTTCCCCAGCCCGGGTGTGGTCAGCTGACATCCTATTGTACCGCCAGCTCTCGCCGCCTTTTCCCTCCTACGACCCGGCCGCACCTCTCCCGTCGGTAACAACCCCTCCAGCACATCCTCCATAAAGACGCCCCGGGCTCCCCTGAATGGCCGCGCCACGGGCGTTCCGGATCATTCTCCCGCCTGAATCGGGGCCGCGTACACTCTAAACAGCCTGGCCTCAGAGTCAGCTTACAACCCCGGCCTCCACGGCCACGCGCCTCCCGCGGGGACATCGGGGTCCTAATTGCTCCCTCCAGGGCTGCTGGGAGCCAGGAAAGAAGACGGAGGGGCCGCCCGCCCAGGCGCCCGGCCCTCGAGGGCGCGTGGCTCTTTCAGGAGGAACCCCACCCCCGGGGCTGGGAATCCGGCGTCCCCACGGCTCACCCTCTCTGAACGACCAGGTCTGTGCAGGCGGCTTGACCCATTTCCACGTCTGAGCTGAGTTCCTTTGGATACATTTCCAGGCCTTGAGTGACGAGGTCACGCAAGACAAGGGAAGCACTCACCTCCCTGCCGGCCACGGCTCTCCCGCCCCGGCTCCCCGCCGCCTAGGGAACCGTCCCGGTAGCGTGCTGTGCACCAGCCCCATTTTATTACGTTACAGCAGTTACAGCGCGAGGATTCTGCGGTCAGGGGGTCAGGCAGGTGCCAGGGGGAGGGCCTGGCCACTCCTGGAGCCGGAGGGCTCGGCCCACGGAGGACGAAGAGCTGCGTTGAGTCTAGGACTTGGGACTCGGTCCATCTGGAGGCCCTGTCACTCCACATCCTGCCCCTGAGCTCGGGCGGCCGACGGCTCGGTTGTCAACCACAACGCCTTCGACAACGTGGCCTCATCCCCGGGGCTCGGCCACTGGGCTCTGAGCATCTCAGAGAGGAACATCCCCAGAGAACCAGGCTGCGTGGCCTCTAAGGGCCTGGCCTGACGTCACCCACTGTCACTTCCCCCCTGTGCACAGGCCGGGGCCGTCACAGTCAGCCCGGGCCCACGGGGCAGGGAGCACGGAGCCCACACCTTCCCACGGGAGGAGCCAGTCATATGCATAGATGGACTCCAGAGAGGCAGGGAGAGGGAGGGAGAGAGAGACCTCAACCCCAAGACCGTCCTGATGACCCATGGGAGCCCCTGGATCCAGCCGCGCCTGAAGCTGTCCTCCCGGAAGGGAGTTTGGGAGCCGCCCATCGTTCCCTGAAGCCCGTTCTGGGCTGAGCGTCTGTCCATGGCGAGCCCCTTCTCTGCCCCATCGTAGTCATTTTTTTGATCTTGGTCTCAGACGCAGCAGCAGCCAAGAAAGAACGGCTTCCGCACAAATACATTCAGGAAGAAGACACGAATCCTCCCCCCGGGAGGCCCCCGGCCCAGGAGGGAGACACAGAGACTCCGAGTTTGTGGCAGTTTCGTAAGAGCTTTCACAGGAGCCCCGAACAGCCCCCTCCACCCCCCTCCCGTCCATCCTGCCACGGGAGCCTACCAGGTAGGACGGGGCCGGAACGTGTTTCTAAGCAACGAATTATACACGTCAGGGGGCAGGAGGGGGGGGAGCTAGAGGGAGGAATCTGGCGAGAAACCGTTTCCTTTTCTTCCCGAAGTCGCTACAGCGGGCGGCGTGGAGCCTCCGCGGGAGACAGAGGCCGAGCTGTTTTAATTCTTCCCGTAAACGCAGCCGGCAAGCGCGGGACCCCCTGGCGAAGCCGCTCCTGTGCGAGCCCTCACTGCTTGGGACACTGTCTCCACCCTCTTCGTACATTTTTTTAAATTGATGTCAGAGAGGAAGGGAGAGGGAGAGAGAGAAACATCGATGATGAGAGAGAATCATGGACCGGCTGCCTCCCGCACGCCCCACACTGGGGATCGAGCCGGCAACCCGGGCCTGTGCCCTTGACTGGCATCGAACCTGGGACCCTTCAGTCCATAGGCTGATGCTCTACCCACTGGGCAACACTGGCCAGGGCCCACCTTTGTTGTTGTTGTTGTTTAAATGCTAAATCCGGGCAGCAAATCCTCGGGTAGAGAAGGGAATGAGACATGGGCGCCGTCTACGGAAGCATCGGCTGTGACGGCCCCGGCGTGTTCCTCCCGCTGAGCGCTGGGCACTGGGCGCTGGGTGCAGGGTGCTGGGCATTGGGTGCTCCTCGGGGTACTTCTCCGCCCCTCGCACTCTGCCGGGCACGTCGCACGGTCTTGGGGGGTGAGGTTCCTGCATCGGGTGGAACGGACCGTGGAGACGGAAACTGCAGGTCTGCCCGCCGCTCGGATGCCGCGGCCGGTGGCGCTTCCCACGCAATGAGCCGCGCGGATGAGTTAGGGCCCCGCCGGACAGGATGCTCACTGGGCTCCAGTCGATTCTGAGGGAGAAGCGATCGCTGCCCCCCCAGGCTGCCTCCTGCGGACGGGGCGTCTGCCACTGAAGGATGAGCCGCGGGATTACAACCGGGAATCGAAGAGCGCCCAAGCCCTGCACAGCGTGGCTCAGTGGATAGAGTGTCGGCCTGCGGACGAAGGGTCCTGGGTTCGAGTCTGGTCGAGGGCAGGCTCCTCCCCGGCCCAGGCCCTGGTCGGGGCTCGCAGCCCTGGCCGGCGTGGCTCAGTGGATGGAGCGTCGGCCTGCGGACGAAGGGTCCTGGGTTCGAGTCCGGTCAAGGGCAGGCTCCTCCCCGGCCCAGGCCCTGGTCGGGCTCCTGCAGGAGGCAACCCATCGATGTGTGTCTCTCACATCCCTGCTCCTCTCTGTCCCTCCCTCTCCCTCTGTCCCTCTCGCTCCCTAAAAATCAACGGGAAAAACCCCCGGTGGAGGATTAGAAAAAAAGGAAGCGAAGGGGAGAGTGCACAGTCCTCCCGCCACACCCGGGGCCGCCTCCTCTTCTCCCCGCGCCTCGGGATGTTGGTTCAGTGGGGAGACACGTCCACGCCGCGTCTGCAACCCTCCCAGCCCCCCAAAAGCCAAACGCGGCCCCTCCTGAGCCTCTGGCCGTCCC